GCTTTTTTTTTTGGCTTGACTGGGCCTCGTCGACTGCGGCTGTAGCACTCGGTCCCTACAAACAGACAACAACTAACAAACAAACTACAAAAAAGTGGTGAAACAGAAGAAGCTCTTCGAAATGAGCTGCGGCGCACTTGGCCGTTCAGCGCTTACTACGGAGCTTCAGTGACCGATCCGGAGCAACAAAGAGCCGTCGCTCAGTCCCCCAAGACAACAGGTGGAGCCAAGACCAGCTCCGGCAACCGGTCTAGTCTCCCCAGACAATGGACAGCCCTGTGTCTTATTCCGTCACGATCATGTACAGAGCTGACGCACGCTAAAGGACGAAAGTGAAGAAGCCACAGTGTGCAAACAATGGCGACTTGGATGCAAGAACGACGGCGACCTGACGCTGCTGCAGACCGTGGGAAATACTTGTTGTGTGTCAAAATCCAATACAGTGAAGCGGAGAAACGCTTTGAGGTTCCAAGAATCAATGGACCATCCAATCTTGTTTTTTGGCGTGAATGGGCCTGGTCGACTGCAGCACTCAATCTCTACAACAAACAAGCGACAAAAACTATAAAGCTGTGAGACCAAAAGCGAAGCTCCACAAGGGCTGCGGCGCACAGACTTTGCAAGCATTGACCGTTTAGCACAATCACGGAGCCTTAGCGACTGATTCGAAGCAACAAAGAGCCGTCGCTCTGAGCTGTTCCAAGCAAAGGTGGAGCGAAGTCCAAGTTTAGCAGCCGTTCTAGTCTCGAAAGACAACAGACAGTCCCTGCACAAATTCCAAAAGTCCCAGTTCGCCGGAGCGAAGGATTACAGCATCACCGGTCGGTGTCACACTCAAGCACACGAAAGTCCAAAAGTCAAATGTTCACCGGATCTTGGCTTCTTAATTTCTGTTGTTTAAAACAGCAGACCACTTGAAGCACTTCCTCCGAGAACGGAAAGTCGATGAAACCGGAAGTCAAAGCTGCATAGGTTTGTGGCCGGGTATTCAACCGCTCCAAGCACTGACTTGAGTTCGAACACCATAGTTGTCTTCGACTTCTCAGTGCGAACACTCAGTTCAATTTCCAGTTAAACTCCAAGTTGAATTTTGAACTTCCAGTTCGGTTCGTTTCGTGTGGGTGGGCCTCACAGACAACAGTGCACTCAGTCCCAGTGTGAACTAGAAGAAGCCAAAAAAAGAAAATGTACAAAGAAACATGCCAATTACAACGATTTTGCGGCTGTGGACTTGCTGGCACAGTTTTGGCAGAGAGAGTCATGGGTTTGCGTCTCTTTTGAATTCATGAGGCTTCTTACGATTGGATGAACAGTGTGCAAATGATTCTGTGATCTGACTTTGAATTAGTGTGTCCGCCATATCGTGGAATGGTTGCTCGTTCCCAAACAATACTTCTATGAGGGCCGCTCACAGACAGCAAGTTCAATTCATTATGTTCGGAGTTGAGTTGCGGTTTCAGCGGCAGGCTGGCCATCTTGAACACTGCGACTGTTCTGAAGAAGAAACAGAAAAAAGACTCACGACATGAGCCAGGACTTCATAGAAGCCTTTGCACACACAGACATAGACACAGCTAACATTTGTATAGGTGTATGCAACATGTGCATAATGAAGATACATATCTCAATATCCCTATGTAACCCTATATATTCCCTAAACCTATATTGCGATAGGTGTATACCTTGGATCCACGAAGCATGTAAAGAGGCAGCGAATCGATCAATACAAGAACCAGGCCGATCAGTGATAAGAAATTTTCATGTTTGTCACCATATGCTCAAAGCTGTTTTTCCATGTGTATGTATGAAGCGAAGAGCAAATGTGCATGTGTGTAAATCTGTATATATATATATATACGAATATATAGGTACATAGATTCATCCATTTGTGTACGCAATACAATACGTACATGTTCACAATGTGATATTGCACTAAACCTGCACTGTTTATGCAAACACATATATTTTCAAAAACATACACAAAGAAACAAGTCTATAGTGATATACGTGCATGGTGTTATATGTGTACATGTTTGCATCTATATATATATATATATATATACATATATATATACACATATACACATGTGCACACACTCAAACAAGACACATGCACAGTGCATGCATGTGCATGTCCACATATATATATATATATAAAGACCCATGCAATAAGCAAGGTTACTATCGAGAGATGGCTTATCAAGGGTTTATCTCTCCAAAGGTCGAATAAGCCAGACATGTCGGAACCCATGTCGATATGTATAGCAAGGGATATAAATATAAATATAAATATAAAAATATATATATATATATAAATAATGCCGATGCCGAAAAATTGCTTTCTTTGGAATAATCGTCAGAACGACCTCTGAAACAAGCTAGTTTATTGAGGAGACATACAACCTCTCAACGGTTAATGCCTATGTGTGCCTATACCTACCAAGTATATATGTTTGTGGCCACGAACTATTTAGATATGACGACTGTACTCGAAACCCTGGGGATTATATAAGGACCTGCAACAGTAAGATTTTGGCACTTTTCTTTGGGCAGATTTTGTTGCTCAAGGACACCTGCCGTATATATGGTTTCTTCTTCAGAGGATCCTATCTACACGATTTCTGCGGGTTTTGCAATTATATCAGGTTTGTATAAAGGCTGTATAACAAACCTTGTAAGCCCGATATTTACTGCACTGCCTGGTGCCTCCAGGCTCGCCGTCTCGGCTCCTCACCTTCAGGTTGAGGCACTCTCGCCCTTGTGGCAGAGTTTCTCTCTGAGGCTTTTTGAGCCGGGACCGCAGGGCATAAGTCCCCTGAGGCACCACACCGGCCTGATGCCCTAAAGCATCCTGCCCCAATCGGGGTTTTCCTTTGTCCACCCGACACCCCTGTACCTTAGGGTTCGCGCTCCTCGCCTCTGCAGGTGGCGGCCACCCTCGCCCAATAAGGGTTTGAGGTGTAGTTCCCGTGGTGGTCTGCCCACCCTTGCAGCTCGGGCCACGTTTCGTGTTTTTGTTCACGTATGTTTTAGAAGGCATGTGAATGTGTAGCACATCGCAGCACTGGCTCTAGCACTTGAGTCTTCTCGAAAAGCGAGATTTAGCCGTAGCTGCAGCCCTGTAGCCTGCTTGTCTCTGCCTTAGAGCGAAGCCATGTTGCCGGCACATGTAGTTGTGACCCTCACCATGTTTCAGTGGGAGCTTGATCAAGCCCCGCCTTCGCCCAGCAGGCCTCCGCCTTTGCCTCCGAGGTGGACTCGTCCCCCGGATTTTGCCTTTGCCCCAGCCAGACTTGCCTTACATGACTGGAATTGGTATGTGATTACATTCACAGAGTGTTTCGCCTTGGCGCCGCATGAGGGACAGCCTTTGGAGCCTTGCCTCCAGGAGTTTCTTTTCTCCTGGACAGTTTGCCCTCGTATCCTTGTTTGCCTTCAGGTGCACGAATGGCTCCCTTTAGTTCTAGCCAATGATGAGTGCCATCAGCTCATGGTTGAGATGCTCTTTTGAGCCGTGTTGCATCTCAGGCGGCCGCCGGGTTCTCAGCCATGGCCCTGGGTCACTCTGACCCTTATTTCCTGCCTTTGCGAATTTTGCCTTATCAGTGGCATTGGCCAGGCCTTCTAGAAGCCTTGCCGCTTCCAGGTTTTATGGGGCAGCCCCACAGCTCTTGCCTGCAGGACCTTTTGCTCTCAGGTACAGTCGGGCCGCGCATCTTGTTGTTTGCCGGTGGGCCTTCTTGGTTGCCCTTAGCCTTGCTTTCTCAGGAGAGCACGAATATCTTGTGTCGCACTTGGACATTTCTGACTAACTGCTTGGCCCAGGTCTGCTGCCTGCGCCCTAGATGCCTTCCTCTGGGTCGGCCTGCAGAGCCAGATTCCGAGCCTTCTCCGGGGGCCTCCCGGGCTTCCGCTGCACCAGCCTTCAGCCTGCTGCGTTGCCTTTGGGGGGAGGGTACCAGAGCTATCATTTCCTTCCCCCCGCCTACTTCGAGCGGTTCGCCCTTTCCCTTCAGGCTTTGGATGCAACCAGCCAGGGGTCAGGCAGTGTATGGCTAGCCCCTCACAGCCCCAGCCTTGATTCAGCCGTGCCAGGGTTAAGGTACCGCCACCCGCTGCTTTGGACCCCCTTTAAGGTACCGCTTCTGTGGCTCCTTCAGCCGCCTCTCTTCCAGGTTCTGTGGTTCCCCACTAAGGACCTACGTGAGCTTTTCCTTGGCTGGAGCCTTGAGGGCCTTCTCTCCGGAGTCGCGCCTTGTGCCAATATACTTTTTTTTGCAGGCTCTAGCCGACAAGTTGCTGCCTTGTGCCTTCTCAATAAGGCATGCCACGACTACATAGCAGAACGCATCTCCAAGGCCCGAGGGTGACTCGGCTCTTACGCCTTACATCCCGGGCCCTCAGCCGGCCGATCCTTTGCGCATCCAGCATATGGGGGCTTATACCTTGATTTGTCTTAGGCATCTTCAGCGTGTCGGCTGCTGCAGCCTCAGCCAGCACAAGCCTACTCGGAAGCCAGTTAAGCCCGGCCGGTACCTCAAGCCTTCCATGAGCCCTTTCCTGCAATTAGCCCTGCTGCTCCGTGCTGCCCCCCCAGGTTTCTTTGAGCCTAGGCCAGCACCTCAGCCTCCCAAGCCGATTCTTGCCTGTGCCAAACAGCAGTTCCTGTCTTCAGGTGAGCCGCCTTCAGTCCAGCCCTTTGCGTTATTTGCCTTCAGTGCCTCCTCCTTGGATGGTCAGCCGTCAGCCCGACTCAGCAGATTTTTCAGGTTCTACATGATCTTCGCACACAGTCTCAGCCCGGGCCCTGCCTGCACTTCCCGCTGCTAGTCCCAGCTTGCCTACGTAGCTCTTTCGGCTGAAACACCATGAGGGGGCACCAGCAACCCCGCCGCCAGGATCAGCGTGGGCAGCGCTCTCCTTGGCCTTCCTATACCAATAGCCCTGCCCTCCAATGGAATCAGGGCCAGCCGACAGCCAACATGACCAACCTTTCAGCCATGGGCCGTATGAATGCGGGCTTGTCTGGTCCCCTGGCCTTCGACCCTGACACAAGCTCCGCCTACGATGCAGTGCAGCCTTAGCCTTCCACTCAGGACTTCAGCCAAGAGCCCATTGAAGAGCCGACATTGCAGTCCCTTGCTGAACGCCTCGCCTCTATGGAGGCTCGCATCGGCATCTTAGAAGCCGACCGCCGTGGGGCACAGCAAGCTTTGTGGCACCACAGCCGCCGAGCCCATGAACAGCCGCGCCTTCGCTGCCTTCTTTCGCCCTGGGTCTTTATCAGTGCCAAGATAGACGCCGTCAGGATCCGCCTGGACCAGACCTACGCCAGGGTAGCCGGGTTGCTCCTGACCCTTCAGCAAGCCTTCCCCACTATAGCAGCTTATCTTACCGAGGCAGCAGTTGATGCATGCCAGTACCAAGGACCGTCAGCCTTGCTGGACTCCGAAGGAGACCCAGAAGCATAGCCTGGAAGCCCGCCTTTGGAAGCCTTGACAAAAGAGATATGCAGCATGGCATTTGCATACCGATGCGGGCTTCGCCATCCTAGCCCTGCCCAGTTCAGGCCTGGTCTTTCATTCACAAGCCTTGCTGCTCTCCATGCCCTGGGCCAGGTCACATGCCCTCCAGCCGGAAGAAGCTCACAGGACTCCTGCGTGCAATTGCCTCACGATGCAGTCAGCTTTCTTGAGCGACGGGCATGGTCACTCCCCCGAGCATTTTCTGTCACAGCACCTATGGGAGCTTCAGCGTCAGCCTCAGCCATGGCGTCTGACCACGATGCCTTCGCCGACTGGCTGAAGACGTTGCCTCCACCTAACCTAAACAAACTCAAAGCCATGCATTCCGCCTCGGCGCAGACAGCAGCCGACACAGCCGTACAGGATGATGCTCGGCCTTGCGATAGTTCTTCGAGCCTATCCCCACGTAGCCTTCTTATCTACCAGAACCAGGAAGCCTTCTATCATGCCCAAGACGGATGTTACACAGGCCCTCTTCCAGCCTGTTTTGACTACGTCCCACCTCAGGACGTGGAGGACCTTGATGAAGCCGACACGGCCCAGCCTTCCCAGGCCGAAGCGGCTCAGCCTTCCCAGCCTTCAGTACCGGCTGCAGTCACAGAGCAGCCCATTGAGGCCGACGGAGAGTACCTCCCTATGGAGGAGCCTTTCCTCTACAGCCTTTCATGCCGCACCACAAGCAGGCCTTTATTCCATGACGGGACAGCTCATCGACATGACAGCCGCAGCCCTCGGAGAAGCCCCCGCAGCACCCGAGGTCCCGCAGAACCGCCGGCGCAGCAAACCTTTCTGCCCGACTCAGCCAAGGCCCAGTCGCCAGACCCGCCAACCATGCCGCACACCCAGCCCACAGCCTTCCCCGGAGCCAGCTTCCAGCAGTTCCGATCAGGCCCCTCACTCAGCCTTGCATAGCCAAACTAGGAGTTCCTTGCATCCGACCACAAGCCCAAGTACTCAGGCCCTTACCGCCCAGCCAAGCCTTTTGGACTAGCCGTTATCTGGGACTCCCGCACACGGATCAATTTTTACGGTGGTGAGCCCTCAGCTGCAGCCGTGGAGATCGACGTCGAGTCCTACTTTTACACGGTCGAGCCAGGACCCACAGACGCTCAGCCTTCGGAGCCGCGGCCCAGCCAGGAGCAGGAGCCCCAGTCTTCCGGCGAGCCCGTGGACCTCCCGCCTTGCCCACCGCTCCGAGAGGGGTGCCACACGGAAGGGCAACCCCCGCAATATGGGGAACTTGCTCTATGCCTTCAGGACCTGCAACGCCCTCCCGAGCCTTTGATCGACAGGCGCAAGCAGCTCATTGTGGAGCCGCCGGCCCAGCCTTACCAGTACAAGCCGCCAGCCATGGCCCTGCCGAGATTGCCTTGCCCTAACATGCGCAACTGCATTATCATCCCCAGCCTTACCTTGCCTCACACCTTCGAGCTGGACCCAGCCTTTGCCCGGGTGGGCAGCCGTGGTGAGATGCGTTGCGGCCTTCCGTGCTCGACCGTGCCTCTCTGCCCTTACCATTCAGCCTGTGGTCGCGAACTCAATCCGGGTTCCGTCGAGCACCAGGATAAGCACTCCGGCCATCAATGTTCGCGCTGTAAAGAATTTACAGATCTTGGCCGTAGCCCTTTTGAATGGTTTTCAGCCGTACCCCCGCAAGCCTCGTCGGGGTAGCCGTTTGCCTTCACAGCCTTTTGCGAGCCCTTTCTGCAGCCTTGACAAGCACTTTCTTTGCCAATTTAGCCATAAGCCATGATAGAGGCTCCGGCACACGGCAGTTTTCGCGCCGCACGACAGCCGCCATCGGCCCACAAAAAGAGCGCTTGCCTCTTCTTGCTTGTTCTCAGATCTAGGGTCATGCACTGTTATCCAGCTTTGACTTGCAGGACCTGCCGTGCCTTCGAGCAGCGGGCCCAGTCTGTGATTGCGTCGCGGTAGCCTTTGCCTTCACTGCATGCCATTAGCCGATCATGGATCCAGACACAGATCCGGAAGACATTAGCAATCTAGAATCATGGAGCCCGGTCAACAGCCTTCACAGCGATGCTCAGCGAACAGGCAGATCCCTACCTGCTCCACTCTGGGTGCTTTCGGGCCTTCTCCACCCGGACGACGATCAGCCTACAAGTTCCCAGCCAGGTCGCAGCAGGAGTCCCAGCCGAGAGAGCCCTCGGTCATCGAGGCAAGAACGGGCCACAGTGGTCCGACGCTTTCGCAAAGACTCTTTTTTTGCCTTCGCTTCAACAGTGAGCCCTATACCGCCAGGAACCGACACGCTAAACCGGGTTTCACCCTGTAGATCTGTCCGGAGCTAGCTGACGGGCGGGGGGGGTTTCTTAGCTGAGGACTTGGATCCTAGACGGATCCCGTGCGCTTTGTTTGAAAGAAGACAAATTTTCTCAGTCAGATTTTAGTTTTGCTTTCGTATTGAATTTCTTGAGTGATTTTCAATCCATGTCTTTCCGGGTCAGTCCCACAGTCTCGCAATGTTGCAGTCTCGAACGGGTAGCCACGTCAGGCTCAGGCCGTGGCTCATGTCGTTTTCTTTAGGAGGGAGCAAGAGTTTCCCTCGCGGGACGCGCAATGGATCTTGATTGGCCACCCCTCCAAGGGGAGCTAATGACGAAGCTGAAATCATGCTTTACAAGCCCCCGGCAGCTGCACTACGATTTTGACGATGACAGAGGTGCGCGCAGATTGGTGGAGATACTGTTGCCAGGGATGGGGGCAAGTAATCTTCAGCTTGCAGTCGATCAGCTTGTCAAATGGCACAAGGAAGGTGCAGGCGTCGTGGCACACGCCAAGAGAGTAGCGAGAGCGGGTTTGATGGAGAGTTTGGTGGGGCAGCATACCGTTTCTGCTTCGGCCACATCTGAAGCATTCGATAGACTTGCACACAGCAACCCTCTTTCGCTGCTGCCTGCAATTGAAAGGGCCAGAAAGGCCAGGGAGAATAGTGTGGACCCATCAAAGAGGGCGGCTGAGGAGAAGGCCGCCAAAGCAAAGTACGCCATGCTCTTGTATAATATCCTGGTTGAAGCGAAGACACCAATAGTGGAGATCTTGAAAGAAGTCGCTGATCCCGAAGAGGCATGTGTGCGTATCTTTGGGACGAGACGGTCAAAGACTCTTAGGAATCGTTATCATTCTTGGAACAAGTTCGGGAGATGGCTGGAGGTTTCGAAGGGCCGCGTCTGGCCAGCCGGGCTGCAAGACCTTTTGGATTATGCTACTGAAGCTGTCAAGGAGGGTGCAGGAAAGACGACCATAGATGCTTTTGCGGCAGCGCTTTCTGTTCTGGAACAGGTCGGACGCGTCGGGGAAGGTGATATGCTGTCTAGGGATCCTACATGGGTGTCGTACAGCAAGAATGTCACTGCCGAGCTGGTGGAAAAGGGGCCAGTGCTGCATCAGGCGGCGCAGCCTACTGTAGCTATGGCGCTTTCACTTGAGCTGTACGTGTTTGACGAAGATAGAGTGAGATACGCAAGAGCGATGGCTTTTGTTGCACTGCTGATGCTTTGGGGAAGCATGAGGTCAGATGATGTTCAGTGCATGAGGCCAGAGAGCATGCGGCTCACGATAGAGGGTCTTTCTTGCAAACTTTGGAAGACCAAGACGACGGGTCCAGATCGGAGGATCAACATGGTGCCTCTCTTCATATCCCGCAAGGCCAGTTTCTCTGGTTTGGATTGGTTGAAAAAGGGACATCAGATTTGGTCAGAGATTGAATACAAGAGGGATTTCTTGGTTTTGCAAGCTTCAGACGATTGGGAAACGTGTGGCAACAAAGGGGTGGATGCCTCTGCTGTGTCACTCTATGTGCGCAAGATCTACAAGGAGCTTTGTGTTCCACGCTGGGCCGAGGGCCGCTGGATACAGAACAAAGAGCGTCTTTTGCTTCCGGGAGATTGCGCATTACATTTCTCTGGGCACTCTGCAAGAAACTTCCTCACCTCGATTGCTGCTGCCATCAGGGTACCTAAGGACGACAGGGACTTCCTCGGCCGCTGGAAGGTCGGTGGAGGGGGTTCGGCTGACTACACGAGGACAGCTCGGCAGATAGTACATCGCATCCAGGAGCAGGTGACTGAGGTTGTTCTGCTTGGGAGAGAACGAGGCTACGTGGAGGCTGATGCACTAGATGCATTACAAAGCTTCGCAGAGGAGAGAGGCGAGATTGGTGCGGTGATCAGGGCAAGGCACGAACGGGCGACCAAGGTTGGGGGGAACCCCCGGCTTGGCGGGCGCTACCCGCCTCTCTACATGCAGAGCATCCCTGGGCCACACGTGATCGCAGAGGAGGCGGATGAGGACCAGCGTGAGTCGGCAGCCGCTCCTAAGGAAGAGGCCAAGTATTTCATTAGTGTCAGCAAGAAGACAGGGTTCCGCAGATTGCATGTGAACCACGCTTGCTATGTAAAGCCTTTTAAATGCCAGGACGTCTTGTATCTTGATCAGGTGGCCTCAACAGATTTCGATGCAATTTGTAAGGATTGCAAGCTCAGGATCAGGTCGATGGCCGACGACAACAAGGCCGAAGAAAGTAGCTCAGGAGAGGCTACCACTTCCTCAAGTGATTGAGGTGCACAAGGCCTTTACTGTTGATTTGCGCGTAGCCTTTGTTTTGTGCACAGCTTAGGGACACCATGACACGAGCTGAGTTTGGACCATGCTCAAAAGAAGATCTCATGTTACCTTGAATCGCCCGTCTTTGAAGTTCTTGTCATTGGCAAGTGCACTGCTTCATGTACTGATTTGAGCGCTCAGGCTGTTGTTGGTTGCGCGTAACGACATTTGCCGCCCTTGGCAGTGCTTCAGGGTTCAGACCTTGGGAGGCTGAAGCAAAGGCCTGAGGGCGCTCAGCGGGGAAGCCGGACCGTAGGCTGCAGAGCAAAGGCCTCGAGGGAGGCGCCGCTTGCCCAGACCAGGGATGGCAGTGACTGAAGCAGAGATGCGTGAGAGAGTCAGCGGAGTCGATGCTGACTTGCAATATGTTTTGCAGGAGGCCGGGGCTTCCCTCGCCACACAATATGCCGTGTGCAACGTGCATACCACGCTTCGCAGATTCCAGGCTATCGCCGATGATCGTGCTGGTTCGCGCACGGCTGCGAACACAGACTTTGGAGTGCCAGCGGACACCCCAGCAGGGCGCCAGCAGACGGCTGCCATAGTGGCAGCGTGGGAACTCGCTAAAGAGATTAGCTCGAAAGAAATAGAACTCCGTGCAGAGGCCCGTGCGCTCAATCAGCCCAGGATTTTGCAGACCCAAGAAAGGCAGGCAATGATGCGTGCGGTTTCGGCCGCTTATGGCAAGCTTAACGAGGCTGAGACACCAAGCGCTGAGTACTTGGCATTGAAAGCAGAAGAGACAGAGCAGAATGAGCCAACAGCAGCCCAGCTTGACACCATCACGTCGAAGCGTGACTCTCAGACTGCCACCATCCAATCTAGGGCGAAGAAAAGGGGGCTTTCAGAGGCCTGCAGCTAGTCTGGAGGACACCCGATGGCAAGGATATCTGTTTCGCATACAGCAATCAGGGTTGCCAGGGCAACTGTGGGTGCGCACACGTGTGCCGGGTCAAAGGGTGCTACAAAGAGCATCCGGCCATTCGCCACCAGGAGCTGTCGCAAGGCAACGGCAAAGCCGAGTGACGGTCCCCAGCCGCTGGCCTCAAAATCATGTGCTTCGGTCTGCCCTCCGTGCAGGCATACCTTGCATTGCAATCAGGGGTCAGCGAGTGCAGAGGATACGAGTTTCACGATCCCGACTTGATGACTGATCGGTTTTGGGATTCAATTCTTAAGTGCTTGTGCCAGGGAGATTGGATTTTCTTGGCGAGTCCACCACTTGAAACCATGTCGCGGGCTAGGCACAAACGGCCAGGACCGGCCCCACTCAGGTCGGAAGCATGGCCCACAGGTTTTCCATGGTTGTCTGATGACAATAGAATTAAGGTTGATAAGGCAAATTCCTTGTTCCAGCGATGTGTAGAAGCGGCATCCGCCTGTGCATCCGCAGGAGGCTGCTTTGTGCTTGAGAGCCCTGAGGACCTGGGTGCCACCAAGGATGGTGAGCGGCCGGCGTCATTTTGGCAGTTACCTCAGGTGCGCGACCTGCAATCGAGGCCCCTACCGCTAAGCCCAGCCGCTTCCTTTCCAATTCCCAACGGCTCAGGCTTCAGCTCCCGCCATACAGCTTGTGGCCCACCTTTGATGCTCAGGGCCATTACTTGGGCTCGTTGCCGCCGCGCTGTCCGCACAGCCATCACCCTAAGCCTTTAGTGGGTCGCCAAGGTCGTGATTGGAATACGGCCTCCTCTGTCGAGTGGCGAGCTCTTTCTCCACGGGTGCCTACAACAAGGGAGGCTTGACAGGCCTGAGGAAGGCATGCCACGACTTCCCGCTGGCCACCAAGTGCTTGGTCCGTTTTGTTCGGAGTGTGCGTCCTTTCCATCCTTTCAGCACCATCAGCATCTACGACAATGTGTGCACTGCCCTCCACAAGGACAGCCGTAATGCTTGCTGCGAGAACTTGATAATCCCTCTTACCCAGTTTTCCGGGGGCGAGTTGTGGCTGCAACAAGACAATGGTGCTATACCACAGACCTTTGGAGGCTCTGAAGTGTTTGGGACGGCCATGCCGATTCCCCACGAAGGCCTCTGCTTCGATGCCCGTGGCATCTTGCATTGCACCATGCCTTGGAAGGGCCGCCGACTGATTGTCGTTGCATTCACGGTGTCGAAGACTGAGGAGCTGAAGCAACCGGATGCACAGCTTCTTGAGGACCTTGGAATCAACTGCCCTGCAGGCAGTCAGCTGGCAGAGAGGACCTTGGATGCCGGGGAACTGTCATGTCATCAACGGAGAGTTTGGAATCGGACCCGCCGGCTGGTGGAGTGGACCAGCAAGCAGATGATGTCTTCAGACCAGAGCTTTGTGGCAACTTCGGAAATCCCTTGATGCTGGAGTGGGACGGGAGAGAGTCGCCTATCACTCACGGCTATGGTCTTTGTTCTCCAACGCGTTGGCATCCTGCCTCCCGTGGAGCATCGCTACCAAAGCAATCAAAGGACCTGTCAAGACGCTTGAATGGCTTGGTGCAGCAGTTTGTCGCAGAGCAGGTGCCAGACTGCCAATTGTTAGCACTCAAGTTGGCCACCGGGCAGATTCTGGAATCGCCTTTCGATGAAGGTGCGATGCGACGCCTTCGCGAGGACTGGGCTGCACTTGTATGTGAGACTGACGGAGCCAAACACGAAGGTTTGCTGGAAGTTCCTGATCCACAGCCTTTCTATCTTCGGTTGCTCTCACGTCACGCTTGCTGGAAGACCCGGACTGGAAAATCTTGACAGAAGGCGAGGAGTGCTTTGAGAAAGGTGTTCCATTGGGCTATGACGAGACCATACCTAGGGTGCCGCAGGTTTTCGATCGGAAGGTCAAATGGCGAAAACTTGATGAGAGCACTTTTGAGGCTGTCAAAGAAAATTACCAGAGCGCGAATCTCACCGTGCAGGAGATGGAGCTGAAGTTCAGGGAGGAAGAGAAGTTGGGACGGATGTACCCGACCACTTACTCCGCTTTGGCGGCCGAGCACGGAGCTGACAGGGTGCGCATAGCAGCGATGGGAGCGGTCGCCAAACCAGACGGCAGCGTCCGTCCCCTACATGATGGTACCCATGGGGTGAAGGTCAACAATGGCATTCGGCTGCTGAACCAGACGGCCACACCTGGCCCTGCTGAAGTGGCACACGCCGTGAGCTCTGCTAAACGATCGCGCGAGGCTGCCTTTGGAATCTCAGCTGACGTTAGTGCGGCTCACCGACTTGTCAAGCACAGGCGTCGGGAAAACCCCTTGATGGCATGCAAAGCAGACTCTACAAGCACTGTCGTTTGGGTTAATGTTGTAGGAACATTCGGACTGAGTGTCGCTTCATTTTGGTGGAGCAGATTGTTCGGACTCGTGGGAAGGACAGTCGCCAGAGCAATGCTTCAGGAATGGTTCTATCAACTTTGCTTCGTGGACGACATCCACGGTGTGTTCACTGGAGCACAGAAGTTCCGAAATCTGGTGATGTGGTTCGTCTTGTATCTTGCCTTAGGGACCCCTTTCTCCTTTAAGAAGTTTCGGGGAGGTTTTAAGGTTCCCTTCGTGGGCTTTGAGCTCGACTACCGTTCTTGGCAAGTTGGCATGTCGGACTCTCGAGGAGCTTGGATCGTTTCATGGATCAAAGATGCTAGGACCAAACGCTTCGTGGTTCAGGTCCGACTCTTCAGGGAGTTCCTTGGCCGGTTGGGGTTTGTTTCTAGGATAGTGGTTTGGATCAAGCCTCACCTTGCCCCCCTGTATGCGTGGGCATCAGCGGTGTCCCGGAGCACCGTCGCCAAGTTACCTGAGACCGTCATCTTGACACTTCTTTACTTGGAAAGAACGCTTGACGAGTTCACCTTTAAGGTGAACCCCTGCCGCAAGCCTAAACACCAGGTCGCGGGTTTCAGGACAGACGCAAAGTGTGCCGACGGATTCGTCGTGTTGGCCGATTGGGAGTTAAGTGATGACACTAAGACTTCTAAGTGGTTTTCGCTGCGCTTGACACCGGGTGATGCACCGTACTTGTTTGATCAGGAGGGAAAATCACAATGGGCATCAGGCTCAGCAGAACTGCTAGCAACATTGGCGGCTCTTCACATTTTCGGATACTTGACAGCCTCTGTGGACAGAAAGGAATTGGACATTGAGTGCGCTGCGGACACAGACAATCAGGGCAACTCGAGATTGCTCAAGAAGGGGTCATCAACAAAGTGGCCACTCATGTTGATCAACATGCAGTTGTCTGACTTGCTTCTTCGCTCTTCAGTGAAGCTCCTCCTACGGTGGAGGCCGCGCGATGAGAATCAGTACGCAGACCAACTTACCAACGAGATTTTCACCAACTTCTCGGACGAACATCGCATTGCATGCACATACTCGGATTTGCCCCTTTCGCTTCTGCAACAGTTTTGGGAGACCAAAGAAAGCTTCGACTCAGCACGAAGGGCTCCGGCCGTGCTGCAACAGGATGCCTCGGGGCATCGTCCTCAGAAGAGGAAGGCAGAGAAGACTCCTTGGTAGTGCGTCCCTGAAGGGGAAAGGGGGTTGGATGCATCAACATGCATCCGCCCTACCAAGGGCACCGCGAGACTACCAACCGCTGCGAATAAAACGAGTGTCGTCCGAGTGCTCTTGATTTTCAAATTTATATTTCATTCACTCAGCTTTTATCTTGCGCTCCTTTTGGATTCATTTGGAAGATACAATATTTGATTCGCTTTTATAGAAAGACGTTTGCGTAAATAGCAACTGATTTGAAAGAACGGAAAACCCCAACCTCTAACCACGAAGCTATGCGAAGGACAGGCTAAACCGGGTTTCACCCTGTAGATCTGTCCGGAGCTAGCTGACGGGCGGGGGGGGGGTTCTTAGCTGAGGACTTGGATCCTAGACGGATCCCGTGCGCTTTGTTTGAAAGGAGACAAATTTTCTCAGTCAGATTTTAGTTTTGCTTTCGGCTTGAATTTCTTGAGTGATTTTCAATCCATGTCTTTCCGGGTCAGTCCCAGAGTCTCGCAATGTTGCAGTCTCGAATGGGTAGCCACGTCAGGCTCAGGCCGTGGCTCATGTCGTTTTCTTTAGCCCACCCAACCCACCCTGGAATGTCAGCACATTCCGAGAATACTCTTTTCCATGCCGCGGGGGGGTTGGATGCATCAACATGCATCCGCCCTACCAAGGGCACCGCGAGACTACCAACCGCTGCGAATAAAACGAGTGTCGTCCGAGTGCTCTTGATTTTCAAATTTATATTTCATTCGCTCAGCTTTTATCTTGCGCTCCTTTTGGATTCATTTGGAAGATACAATATTTGATTCGCTTTTATAGAAAGACGTTTGCGTAAATAGCAACTGATTTGAAAGAACGGAAAACCCCAACCTCTAACCACGAAGCTATGCGAAGGACAGACACGTGCTCCTGCCCTTGCAGTCGGTGCACAAAGCGCGCCCGGGCCTGCCCCCTCCAGCCTTGCCGCCGGCAGTACGCCCGGCCCCGCCTTTCTCAGTCCACAGCCTTATCAGAGCCCGGTCCTTGCAAGTGCCGCTTCCTTCGATTCTGCCCAGGCGCGCGGTTTCCGCCTGCCCTCAGCAAAGGTGGCCTCCACCAACCGCCGGGGCCTCGACCCAGCTGGCGTGCCAGCCTTCTGGGACTCAGCCACCCAGTCAGTCAGCCTTTCACACGGCCACCGCCAAGAAGCCTTCGCTACGTTCCTCCGCCACGGCCACAGCCAGCACTGGAACGGCCTATGGGTCCTAGATTCCTAGATTCCATGTACAAGACCTGCCCTCGCGACCAGCATCAGCCCCGACCTCGGTCCGGCAGACACGCTTGCCCGACCATGGTGCCGCCCCGACGGCAGGCCCACGCAGGTCACCATGCAGGAAAGGCCAGCAGGCCTCTAGAAAAGCCAAGGCCCTGGAACAGTGGAAGGAGCTACTCTGGCTCCTCGGGGACTCGGCAGACTTGTACCGTAGCCTTCAAGAGGCCAAGTATTCCCAGCAGCTACTTACTCAGAGTAAACTGCCCTTTACTGCCGGCACACTGGAAACCTACTTGTCAGCCTGCAGACAGTTTGTGGAGTACCTCATTCTCAACAGCCTCGACATCAGTTCTATCTCCGTGGCTAGCCTAGGAGACCTGCTATGGGCATGCCACTGCAGCCTGGAAGCACCGGCCCTGAGCCTATGATTAAAGCCCTTTCATGGCTAGCCAAGACAGCCGGTCTCGCCCAACTCGCATCGGTGCTCTCAGACCGACTCATAAGGTCCTTCACTGCTCAGACCGACACGGACAGGAGAGAAGCCTTGCCACTGCCACTTGCAGTCGTCACAGCCTGGGAAGGCCGTATATGCCAGCCGGACTGCCCGATAGAGCTCTGCCTTCTCCTAGGGGGATTCCTGCTAGCCCTACACGGCGGCCTGAGATTCGGGGATCTCCAGCGCATCAGCCTTAAGAGCTTCTCGCTGACAGGACACAGCCTTCGAGCGGTTTGCTGGCATACAAAAACAACCAAGCGAGGTCAGCCCTTCGCGGTTCGTCTGCACGGGATCTCCGGCCGAGACCCGGCGAGCCTTTGGGTGCTACCTGGGAGCGCACAGAGGAGATTTACGGCGCACACACTTGCCCCGACTTCATACTGCCCACTTTGCACAACCTACTGGGGTTCCCGGGCAAGCCAGCTGCAGCCTACCACCAGCCGATGTCCTATAGCCAAGCCCTCGGGTGCCTTCGTTTCTTCATGTGCCGCCGACATCTGGAGGGTGGCTCCCCGGAACTACTGACAACGGAAGAAGCGTCCGCCTTCACTATGCACAGCCTTAAGGTCTGTCTACTCAGCGCCGGGGCACAAATTCAAGCTGCCGACAAGATACGCCAACAGCAAGGCCATCATAAAAACCCTAGCGTACAGCTTTACGGGAGAGATGATACGTTGGGAGCTTTAGCCTTACAAACTGAAATCGCTCAAGCATGCGCCTTGGGTTGGAGGCCCACACGCCCCATTGCCAGGGGAGGACAGCATCCGACGGTGGAGCCGCCTTTTGAGGTTAGCTCGTCTTCGCCGCCCAAGACCTTCCAGCTCTCGGCCCTCGGGAAGGGGCTGGACAGATTTATTTTCTCCCGTGAAGCAGAACTTGAGGCTGCCTTCATCGTCACCCAGCCAGCTGCCTCTAACAGCGCCGATCCTCAGCCAACTGCACAGTCCGAGCAAGGGACCCTCGCAGCCAACAGCCTTCCACCGACTATACCCGCAGACGACATCGAGGCCCTGCTGGTGGAGAGCTTTGCGGTTACGCAAGCCGACTCTTCCGACTCGGATGACCAGGTTGCCCCACCTACCGTGGAGGACATAGCCTTGTTCCAGAATGGACCGTGGGGATCCGTTCATGCTCAGCCGTTGGGCCTGCGATCCACGGCCACCTTTTGCCCCACGTGTCCCAACACAGCTTTTTTCTGCCGCAGAGCGGCCTGCCGACGCCTGTTGGACGCACTGCCTTAGGAAAAACGCGGGCTGGGCGGTGTGCTCCGTGCGATGCTAGCCCCTGCACTTGCCATGCCAGTTCGCCGCTTACGTGCCCCAGTTGCCCCTTGGTTTTCCCGCAGGCATGGCGCTCTTTTTCTTGCAGCCTTCCTGCAGGCGCAGGGGGTGCACGAGGTGGTCTGCAATGGCCTCGCCTTTAAGGACCTGGCATTCGCCTACCCAGACCTTACTAGCTTTCACACTTTCTTGCAAAGCCTTTCCGAGTCGGACCTCAGTGATATGGGGGTTTCAGATGCACTATACACTCAGTCCAGGCAGCTCGAGCCAGGAAAGCCTTGCGCTCTGCACACAAGGCACAGGAAGGACCTCAGCCTTCACCGGCATTGCCATCTGAACAACTTTGACACCCCATACATGTATGATTTTGGTAACAGTAACACACGTGTACAGTAGTAGCTTTTGACTCCAGTTTTCACTTGAAAGACTTGTCGCTCCGCGTTGCTCGAACAGGCTCAGAGTGAGGTTGAAAAGTGTGGGAACTTGTTCATGGTAGCGGAGCTCCTGGCCGTCCAGGGGTTCCGACACACGTGGGTGAGCTTCCGTTCGGGATTTGCGTTCGGGGGCCATTGGGCTGCGAGCTTTTGCTTCTGTGGGTTTAGGGGACAGCTTCGGTGAAACTGTAGTGTTTCTCCAGCGCCATAGCCGGCGCCTCCTCTTGAAATCACGACCACAGAAGGCAGTGTTGAGGCTGTCAAGAGCAGACTGCTTGAGTTTTACGTAGAACAGCTTGTGCAGAGGGAGCGCCCGACCAATCGTACTGCAGAAGGTTGGAACCGCATTGTTGCTACGCAGAGAGAAGGGTTCGAGGCCCATTTGGCTGCATTGACTACTGTCCAGCAGGTTTTCCAGTTTGGTGAGCGGTGCCTGAAGGACCAAGATTTGAAAGAGGCTTTCCGTTACTTTGCAGCCGAAGACTCCTTTGAGGCAGCAGTTCCCTGGGATCTTCAATTGCGTAGCGTGCATCCAGAGAAGGAGTGTGAGCGCTCCCTCGCAGCAGCCGCAGACCTTGATCGTGTGTTGTTCAAACAGTCCTTGAAGCGTTCAGCTGAGTGCCTAGACATTGATCCTGAGCCCAGTTGTACTTCGTTTTCTGAGCTACGCCCTTCCGAAGGCGTGATCGAGCTTTGTGAGAGCGATGGCGAATGTCATTCCAGCACAAGTGCCGGCAGGTGATGATACTGATGATGAGCTGGGTGCCGATCCCGCTTCTGCTTCGCAGCATGGTGGTGATGCAGGCACAAACCCTTTCCCGTTTTCACCTACAGGTTCGGCACAGGCTAGAGACATGACACCGGAGGTCATGACGCAAATGATGGCACAGATGACGCAGGCGGCCGCAGCCGCGAGCCAGGCAGCAGTCGCTGCTGTAAGCGCTCTGAGCAGCAAGGATGCTGCGCCCTCAGGTTCAACCACTTCAGGGTTTTCCGATGCCAATAGGATACTTAAGCGTCCTGACGAGTTTGGGAGCTCGAGTCACGATCACGATCTTGCGATCTGGCAGGAGTGGTCGCATGGGTTTAAGAGTTGGCTCATTTTCGCAGACGCTTCATTTGAATCAGAGATGCAGGAGATTGAGCAAAATTTGGATCGGTCCCTGGCGAGTGCTCACATGAGTGCCGCAGCGCAGGCGCGCAGCCAACGATTATATGCCATTTTGGCGTCGCTTTTGAAGGCTAAGCCGCGCACCCTGCTTCGGCAGGTGGAGAATAGAAATGGATATGAAGTGTATCGACAGTTGATGGGTGTGTGTGCGCCCAAGTCGAAGGCCCGGTCCTTGGCCTTGATGAACGCAGTGGTTTCGATGCCAGCATTCACGAAGGACAAAACATTGAGAGAGCAGCTGGCTGCCTTGGAGCGCTTGGCGACTGAATATGAGAGAGTGGCCGGCAAGCCGGTCGGAGATGACGTCCTTTTAGGGACGGTGTTGAGATGTCTTCCACAGGCCATTCGTCAGCATATCCAATTGCAAATGACTGAGACGACTACTTATTCTGCTGTGCGAGATTATGTGGTCTCATACGAGTCCACGACGACCCAGTGGTCAACCACGAAGGTTCATCAGTCCTTGGGCGTCGTTGCGCCGCCACCGGGAGATCAGGACCCTGTGCCCATGGATGTTAGCCGTGTGACGCAGCTGATTGCAGAGCTGAATCGCATCAAAGGAGGCAAAGGAAAGAAAGGCGACGGAAAAGGAAAGAAAGGCGACAGAAAAGGCAAGAAAGGCGATTCCAAAGGCAAGCCGTCAGGTGCATACGGTTATCAGGGTTATGGGTATAGTGGTCAAGGTGGTAAAGGCGGTGGCAAGAAGGGTGAGCCGAAAGGCAAGAAAGGTCAAGGAAAAGGCGAAGGAAAGAAGGGCAAAGGCAAGTCCAATCCCAACCTTGTGTGCTGGTATTGCGGTAAGACTGGCCATCCACAGCATTTGTGTTTTCAGAACCCCAACCGCAAGCAGATCAATCAAGTTGAGCAGTCAGGTGCAGTTGGAAGTGGAAGCCCAGCGCCAAGCACCGTTGGCCCGAGCGCGAGCCAGCATCCGCAGCAGTCCGTGGCCGGCAGTGCCACGACAGTCAGGCGTGTTGATGCTTCAGAGCCTTTGATTTTCGATTTTAGCGATGTGCAGAGCCCAGCTTCCGTTGACATCAGGGCTATCGTTGCTGAGCTTGAGGGACCAGAATTTGGGTCCGATGCCGAGAATTTTCATTTTCATGCACCATGCCAATTTTTCGACATGACGTATTCTGATGCCGATGCAGACTGGCTTGTGTTGCCGGGCGTGCCGAGCCCTGTGGAGCCTGAGCTCCTGCGTGACGGTGTGGAGCCCATTTTGGGCGATGTGGCAGCTTCTGTGCTTGAGACCAACCTGCGTGAGGTCGAGGTGTCTCCAGCCGTGTCAGTTTCTGTCCGAGCAGTGAATGGTGCAAGGCCTGAGGTTGATTTGGAAGTGATTTTGGATTCAGGGGCTGACTTGAGCTGTTTGCCAATCGCCTTGGGGTCCACAGGTGTGCGAGGGCCGAGAGCAGGCCGCATTGCGGTGCGTGATGCCCAAGGTGGGCGCCTGCCAGTGAATACCACCAGGGATGTAGAATTTTCCTTGAAGGCCCATGATGGAAGGGAAGTGGTTTGGAAAGAAAGGTGCATCGTGACATCCGTCACCCAACCACTGTTGGCTCTTGGAAAATTGATGCGGGCAGGATGGATTCCGTCCAAAGACGATTTCGGAATGTTCTTGCAGCACCAGGAGAGCGGAGTTATGGTTCCAATTGATTTTCGGGGAAATAGCCTTATGGTTCATGCCACTTTGCGTAGAGTAGACGGTGAAGATGCTGAGTCAGCAACTGGCGAGGAGCCGGATTCCAGAGATCCGGATGCCAGAGATCCAGATGCCAGAGATCCGGATGCCAGAGAGCCGGATGCCCACGATCAGGATGCCGAGGGGAGTTTGCATGTGCGTGCGACAAGCGCGCGTCCCAGCAATGAGTTGGTTGATGCTTCATTTGGCTGGCAGACCTTGGAGAGCACCGGACATTTTGTGTGGCGGGGAAGAACTGACAGGTACATTGATCCAGCCACACTTGTGCCGATCACTTGGCCTCATCGCACCACTTTGGTGTATGCCGGTGCAGGCTGGCAAATGCTTGAATGGTGTGTC